CACTTTTCTAATGCACTGCTGAAGATAAGCACTGCTTAAAACCCAGAGATGTGTGCCTAATGACATGGGGGAGCTGCCAATCCCAAAAAATCGTACAATTTCTCAGTAGTTTTTTTTAGAATATTCATACTTAAAACAGATTGTCATTGAGGAACATACAGTGGCCAGGAATCTGACAGCACCACACGGTAGCCTTTAGCCCTTCTCTCAGCACACATGAATGAGTATTGCTCATCTGTTTCAGAAGCTTGCTAGCTTTTCTAGATGAATCAGTTGGTCATAGAAAACTGTAGTACTGTTGTTTAGGAATGGGCATTGCAGCAAACAAACAACTAGATGGAGTCAGGACACTCTGCCCACCTTAGATTTAGATGGAACACTGCCCTCAGAAGCCACCCCTACTCTTTAAAACAGCACAGTGAGCTGTTAGATAGTTTTGCATAGGTGGGTAGTGCTCCTCACCAGGTAACCCAACACATGGCTCTCATACTGAGCAATGTCCAACCCTTTAGCAATGCCTCCTACCCTGCATTCAGCTTGTGCTCAACCCCTCAGTGCATACTGATAGGAAACACTGTCATAAATAAAAAACATCACTCTCCCTTAAAATTACAGCTATCAACTATTAGTTTATATTCTGCAGAGAAAGGTGGTTGCTTCTCTTTCCTGAGGCACCTCTCTCTCACAGCCAGACACATTGCAAAAGAAAGGAGGGCAGCAGGAGCTTTGTGGTGTCTTCTGAGATGATGGAAACAGATTTGGGGCAGAGCTTGTCTTATGCTGTCAGCTGAACAACACGGAGCCCTTTTAAAACACAAACCTTTGCTGGGATATTTTAGCACTTCTGCATAGATACAGAAGAAACAAAAATAACTACTAGCAAATAATGGCTAGGTATGTCTCCTGCTGTCTCTCTTTTTTTTCTTTCTGTTTACTAATTCCTGAACTACCAATGAAAATAGCTAACCATAATGTTACAGAGAGTGGAAAGGAAGGTATTTTACAAAATGAGCTTGTACAAGATGAGCTGCAGGGCAGCAATTAATGTGGAGCTCCTGAAGAGAAAAAACAGACCTATGCCCTTGCTACTGCTTAGTGTCTAATGCAGCTTGAAAGAATGAGTGCTGAGTAGTAAAGCCACAGCTATTCAAATCTATCCACCTTCCCAAATACCAGTCCTGGAAGAATTTGGACTTGTGCTACAACAGAAGTTGCATATTCAAACTTGACATGTAAATAAGTAAACTCATTCTACACATTTCTGAGGCAGGAAGAAGAAAGGTTTTACTATTCAGAGTTCAGTGTAACTGCAGAATTTTGGCCCTCCTTCTATCTTTGGAAATTGCTATAGACAGAACTCTAGCATGTCAGAGTTGCATCCACATTGTAGTCCCTTCCACTGTCAGGAATGAACCCAGCCAGGTTACTCTCCTCAGAGAGCTGCATGTAGGAGTGCGGGGTGCCCAGCAGCATAGGGAAAGACCAGAACCCACAGCAGAGGCATCATGCAGCACAACAGAGTCCTGTACCCAGCTGCTAAGGGATCCTGCTCAAGTTGAAGAAAACATCATCTCTGAAGCAACGACTGGAAGATAACATACAGCTTACAGCAGAGAAAAGTTGTTCTTCTTGACCAAGGTTACCAAGTTAGTATTGAAAAAGGGCTATGTTTATAGCCAACCATGTAACGATGACAAAACTTGCTGAAGAATAAAATACAGGCAGAATGTGCAGTAGTTTATGTGAGAATATAAATACCTGCAATTAGAATACCCATTTTTTAAGACTTACATTTCAAATATAGACACATACTAATTCTTGGATAGAGTCATGGTTCTGCTGCATTATCACAGGCATTGTCTCTGCTATTTTTAATAAAACCTAAGGCAGCACAGGACAAACTTGCATAGCTCAAGGCTGAACTAAGCCGTAACAAAGCATTTCTGTGATAAGGAAACACACACCCTAAAACCCACTGCTGAAAACTTCCTACTCTCAGACATTAAACCACTTTCAAAACCTGACTCCACTGTGCCATCCTAAAGTACCTTAAATTCAGGAGAGTGGCATCCATAGGAACTCCTTAGCTTATATCAATGAAATGCAAAGCAAACAAGAGTTCTGTGTTTTGAAAGTCACAAAAGCAACGTGAACTATGAACTTCAGGATTTATGAAACCTATGAAACCATGACATTTTAAAGTGGGAGAGAAAATTATTTTCTGTCTTGTCCAAGCCCCTGGATGCTAAAGTGAAAAAAAAAAAAGAAAAAATAACCATGAAATATTATGATTCAGTAAAAACATTTCGGATCCAGACTGAATATTAATGAATTTCTCTGGTGAGGAAAAAAATGAACAGCTAGGTACCAAGGAGACAATAATCCACAAATTTAGTCTGTTTTGTATAATGCAAGAGAGTATATTCTAATTTACCTGTATGGGTTCTGCCTTTTGCAGAAGGAATACCCTCTTAAAAGGTAACTCTTAACTTGATGTCAATTTATATATCACCAAATTTTAAAAATCCTTCTTTATGCTACTAATCACAACTCTTCAGTTATTCACGATGTCAAGCAGCACCAAATCCAGGGGCTCGTTTCCCTTCTGCTGTTCAATAAAGTGGTGTTGGCAGCGGTATGCTTTAACACTTGCAATTTATTAACCTCAGAGGTGTTGTAGCATGTAAGTAAAGCCACAGAAAGGAGGCATTTAGTAAGTTATACATGCTGCATATTTTTACAGCTAAGGAGTTCCTGCTGTGCTTTTCTAGCCTCCCACATTTTTATGATTATTTTTCCCCCTTGTGATAACTGCCAAGCCTCATATACTTGGAAGAGATATTTCCTTCTTTTGCACTAACCCTCTTTCTCATGTTTAAAAAAGCGTTGCTGTGTATTTCTCAAGGAAGCATTTAAAATTTTCTGTAAGTTTTTAACTTTTTAAAAGCTTCAAGTCCAAAACAGATTTACAAAATGTTTTACAGGACATCATCCCGGCTACAAAGATGTGCTATTGCATAGGCCGAAAGGAAATGTATAACTAGGGCAGCAGTGATGATGCAGATGATGTAGGAGGGTCTTGTTAGAAAACGTTGAGGAATATCCACATTTATTTCTGGCAGGTTCATTACTCTGCTGCTGCAGTTGAGGAATCAGGTTTTTTTATTGTTGCCTGTCTCTGAAAGCGTCCATAAAGATAGTGCCATTTTTTTGTCATGATTCCTAGGGAAATCTAATGCATTGGTCACCTTTGTATTTTAATGCAGCATTTTTGCATATCAGAAAGAAACATTCAAAACAAACTTACAGGTTCTACACAAGGGGTTTCCTCTGACCACACGAACACATTATCAGAGTCATCTGAGAAACCTATGTTTCAGAACTGACTTGGTGCAGGAAGAAATTCAGTGCGTATGACATTATTTAATGTCACCACTCACTCTTATCCTCATTACTTCTTTCCCCATACACCCACACTGCCATCGAGACACTTCACAGCACTATTCAGTAAGGTGCAGTGACAGAAACTGGAGCCTTCTTGTGCTGCCTGGCAGTACTTAAAGCACTAAGAGTTGATGAAGAGCTGATTTTAAAGGACACCGTTAGTGGGGGTGGGTGATGGGGAGGACAGTTGGTCTAGATAATCTTAATGGTCTTTTCCAACCTTAACGATTCTATGATTAAGTTTCCAGAAGCTCTTTGCCCCTTGAACGTTATTTGTGTTGTAAACCATCCAAAATACGTAATTCCTATTATATTGGAAGGCAGAAGACTGGGAAATGATAGAGACAGGACAGAAAAGGCCTCAAGTTCATAGTTTCGAGGCAGAGCGAGGTCCCAGCGGCGCTGAGGGCTGGCAGTGTGTGACGCTGAGGACACAAACTGCACACAGGGCCTCGGGTCACCCTCAGCACCCCCAGGTACCCAAAGCTGAGTGGTTATGGCAGTGACTGCAAATCGGTGCTTTCCCACTCCCTGAAAGCAGGCTGTACGGGAAAGACACGCTGCATTCAGCGTTTTAATTGTTTAAGTGTTTGTAATACAAATTAGTTGCTGTGATGTTCAAGCGTTTGGCCACTGCCCGTGTACGACAAGCCACAGCCCATCCCCATTTCCATGCTCGCTGCGTCGGATTCCTGGCAGAGGACCCGAGCAGCACCGAGGCCTTTCCAGAAGTCGCCTCTGTGAGGAAGCCGAGGTGGGAATAGAACCCAAAGGGCAGGGCAGGGGGTGGAACCTCAGCACAGGGAGCGGGAAGCGAGGGAAACGCACAGCCCCCAGCCCAGCGCCCTGACTCAGCCCCGCGCCCGCCGCTCCCCCCAGCGCCGTCCCGCGCTATCTCGCGAGACCCGGCCGCTGTAGACGCGATGTCCTTTGGGACACTGGGGGGGAGGGACGAGGGAGGGAAGCGAGGCGAGGGGTGGATTGATCGATAGTGGCCTTCACCAATAAGATTAGGGTACGGAGGGCCCTGAGCCAATAGCTTCGTCCCAGGGCGAGCGGCGAGCCAATGGAGGGGCTGAGGAGGCGGGGCGCGCCGCTGGCTGATTGATCCCAGCTTTGGCGTTGTTCAGTCAGAGCGAGAACATTCTAGAGGTGAGTACGGGGCAGCCATTGCCGGGGTCCCATCAACCGCCCCCTTCTGCCCGAGCTGCGCGCCGGCCGCCGCAGCTCCCTCCCCCCCCTCCCCTTTTCTCCCCCCCTCCTCCTCCTTCCTCTCCTCACAGGTGCCGGCGCTAACGATGCCCCTGATTGTGTCTCCTCCGCAGGTTGTCCGGCACTGCTGTCCCTGCTGATAACGCCCGTCACAGGACGCCCGGACCCGGAGGCTGCGGCGTCCGCCTCCGCCTCCTCCCCCGCCCGGATATAAGCGCCGCACGGCCCTGTTCTCCTCGCACACTCGGCTTCATCGCAGCCCAGGGCGAGCAGCGTTGGGTTTATGTCTTTATTGGACGAAAACGGTGAGCGTGGGTCTAGAGGTGGAGCGGGTGAGGGCGGCGGGGCTGGGAGGGCGGCTGGGCCCTGGGAAGGGGCGAGCGGGCTGGGCTGGGCTGCCGTTGGAGGGCGGGCGGCTGCGAGGAGTTGTGCCCGGGGCCCTCCGGGTAGGGGAAGATACCAGAACTGGCACGTTAACGTCTCGCCTTCGTTGGTTTGATGTTTCTGCCGGCTGTTTTTCCTCCGCGTTATTTTCTTACGCTCGATTTTTTTTTTCTCCCCACCCACCCCCTGCGCCATGCGACAAGACAAGATGGCGGCGGCCGGGCCGCGCCTCCCCGCGCTGTGGGCGGTTGGGGGGGAGCGCGAGGCGGGGGGGAGCTGTGGCGCAGTTACAGGCGCTGCGGGGGGAGGGGGCGCCCGCTTCGCCGGCGGAGGGAATTGGGGGGGGAGAGGCGGCGAGGCGCGCGGGGAGCATCCCCCCTTTAGAGCTGGGGAACGCATGCGCAGTTGGAGGTTCCCCTCCTCCCCCCCGGTCTATTCCAGGGCTGAGTCAGTGCTTAATTGCTGCATTTATGACTCATCACGGGCCCGAGTGGGGCGGGGAGTGGTGTTGCTGAGAGCTCTGCGTTCCCGCTTTTTTTTTTTTTTTTTTTTTCTTTTTTCCCCTCCCCTCTGTGCGCGGCGTATTTGGGGGGAGGTGTCCCGGGGACCAGGAGAGGGAGCTTCAGCCTGCAGCCCGCAGACAAAAGCCGTGAGCTAGAAGGAGGGGAAACGACACGTTAGCTGTGCTAGCTCACGCAGAGAGGTACTGCTTCCTCAGCGCTTCTCAGGCGCGTGGTCGGGTCACGTGGGGGCTCTTTTTTAGCCATTCTGGGGAAGGAAACCTCGTGCCTGAAACAAAATCCTTGGGGCGGCTTTTGCTGAAGAAGGGTAAAGCTGCATTGGGACAAATGTGGAATATATGGTGTACGTGTATCTGTTTGCTTTTCGTGGAAGGATTTGTAAACCTGAGCGGAGGGACTCTACATGGGATTGTGCTCTTACACAGGAACATAAAGGAGTCTATTTTAATGTGTCAACACTTCTGTCATTAACGATAACATGGTGACGTGTCAAAGCGAGCATGCTGCAGGCAAGGCTGCCAGTTTAGTCAACCAGTTGTGGCTTACGTAACTTCAGATCTGATTACAGGGGCACATGTTAATTTAAATATGTAAATACTGCTTAAGGCAACTTTAATAATAGGATTCATCCTCCTTCCCCCAAGAAAAATATCAACTGGAAAAGCTGTTGCACTGCTCTGTACCTCTGCATTGTTAGGCTTTCTACAGTAAAGCAACTTGTGTCAGACTTTTATCAGGCTTATTGTTAAATCAAAACTCCACAGAAGCTGCTTTGAGAATCCATAAGTGAGAGGGAGAACAACCTAATTTTACGCTCTGAGCCAGAAAACTGGTAAGCCATGTAAAAGTTCTGTTGGACTGCAGATCGCTGCTGCTTCACCTTATGGATATTCCTCAGTATTCTGACAGAGTATGGTTTATGTAATAGGTTCATGCTATGATGCAGAATTCGAAACTGTATTCCAGATTTTTCTTCCACTTTAGCCTGGAGTATATCACGTGAACTTAGTGTAAGAGCCCTTGGTCTTTGTTAATTGGGCAGTGTTCCTTTCCCTTCCTTACTGATCATGGCAGTCTTGGGAGTTAACTGTACAGAAAATACTGTTTAGTTGCCCATTGTTTTTTGGGGAGTAAGGTAGAAGAGGATTTAAAGCTCTGTAGTGTATATGAGGAAAAGTTATTCAGGAGTGCAGTTCAAGGTTATTATCTTAAGCTTCACAGGTAATGAACTTAGTTCCCTACCCATAAATATAGTTCATCATACAGTAAGGTTTTATTGGTATATATTGAGATAAACTTTTTACTTCTCTGTCTGTTAATGCTTGCAGAGCTGTTGCGCAGCCACTGGTACCTGTATTGGGGAAACATAGCATACAAGCAAGAACCTTACAGCCTCAGTGGCGAAAATTTTTTCATGTCAGAGACCGAGAACTCTTGCAGTCGTTTATGTCATCCCGTCTTCTCCAGACAGAAGATACCAAAAAACTGCAATCAAAGATCTCTTCATCTTATTGATAAAGCTACTAATAAGGCAAAATGTCTGTCAACGTCAACCGCAGTGTTTCAGATCAGTTCTATCGCTACAAAATGCCCCGTCTGATTGCCAAGGTAACTTAATAACTGTTAGTGATAAGTAGGTAGGGTTTCACATTGGTTGCTTTCTATGTAAAGGAATTGAGGTAATGATATCAACCCTAGCCAGTCGTAGGGAGTGGATGTCACTCTGTCTGGGCTAATCGTACATTAATGCCTCTTAAGCAGACCCTTCAAAGCAGAATTTAGGTATAGTAAGATGGGAAATACACACTGGGTTGGGCTGTTGTGGTCGTTCTAACTTTTTTGACTTCTTTTTCTTTAAAGGTTGAGGGCAAAGGAAATGGAATAAAGACGGTTATAGTCAACATGGTTGACGTTGCAAAGGCGCTTAATCGGCCTCCAACGTGTAAGTACTCTGTGCAGTGATGCAGTATGGTTAAAGTTTTTTTTTTTTTAATGCTTTCACTTTGATTTGAAGTTGTTAGTGCTAAGTAGTTTTTTTTCAAGATTTATTAGGAAGACAGTAAAGGGGAAGTAGGAGAAAGCAGCAGTGGCTTATTTATTTGATTTTTCTTTTTTTTTTTTTTTCAATCAACAATGAAAACTTAAAGACAGCGGTGGTTATTTCACTTTATTTACAGATCCTACCAAATTTTTTGGTTGTGAGCTGGGAGCACAGACCCAGTTTGATGTTAAGAATGACCGTTACATTGTCAATGGATCTCATGAGGCGAATAAGCTGCAAGACATGTTGGATGGATTCATTAAAAAATTTGTTCTCTGTCCTGAGTGTGAGAATCCTGAAACTGATCTGGTGAGTGCTCTCTATCTGTATGAATGGTAACAGTACAAAAACACTATGTTTAGGGTTGGTGGAAATAGTGTAGATTTTAAAAGCTGACTGGAATAACAATTTAGAGAAATGTGATTTTTTTGCTATTCAACTTAGGCTGTAGGTTTACAGTGGTTCAAAACTTCTTGGCTAAACTGCTTGTTTAAACTCAAGCTCTGTTAGGGCTGATGAAAGCATGATTTAATCCTAGGAGATTACAGGGTAAATAACTGGGTGTAGGCTTTAATGTGTATCTGTTTTGTATTTTTACTGGAGTTTGTTCTTTCTTACAGCATGTCAATCCTAAGAAACAAACTATAGGTAACTCTTGCAAAGCCTGTGGCTATCGAGGCATGCTTGATACAAACCATAAACTCTGCACATTCATTCTCAAAAACCCACCTGGTAAGTGTGTGTGCCCTTATTTGTGAGGAGGTAATTAAAAAGGAGCTTTTTCCCAGTGTGAGTGCTGTTAATCAAGTAGAAAAGCAAATAGCCTATTTCTGAGTAAACTGTAGACATGCTCTGGTATACTGCTAGCGTGTGTCTGTGGGTTGGGTGAATAGCTCTGTTCATAGTTTAGATGTGGAAAGGATGCAAGAGAACTGGCTGCTCAAGTACAAGTATCTGACTAATTTTATTTGCCTAGACAGGACAAAACTTCCTAGGATGTTAGTCAGCAGGTGCTCAATGTTGATTTCTGGTTAAGTCAGCTTGAAGCAGAAGGATAGGAAGCAAAAGCCATATAATAAACATGAACTACAGTGGACAACTTACTCTGTGCAAGCAACACTCTGTAGTAAGCATTTGGTTGCCTGCTGCAATTTAAGCTTGCTAAATTAGAAAAGTCTAACCTATTCCAGGGATCTCTGCTTTGTGAGGTCACTTGTTATATGGACTTGTACAGCCTTACTTTGCGATAAGAAACTGGACTTTGCTAGAGCCATGGGTTTTTCTAAACAATGTATGCTGTCTCCATATGTATTCGGAACAGTAAGCATGCATAACTTGCTGCTATAAAAACACTGAATCAGTTTCCCTTGAGAGTTCAGTAGCAGTGCAGTAGCACAGGGACTTCGTGAGATAGAGGAAGCTAATACACTGAAATTTGTTTTCAGAAAGTGGTGACACTGGTACAGGGAAGAAAGAAAAGGAGAAGAAAAATAGAAAAGGCAAGGACAAAGAAAATGGTTCTGTGTCCAGCAATGAGACACCTCCACCTCCACCACCAGAGGAGATTACTCCTCCACAGGTTGTGGTAAGTAGAAGTGGGGAGATGAGGATGTATGGTGTCTTGCTCTGATTTAAAACTGAAAATCACTTCCTTGCTAGTCAGCATTGCATCAAAGTTTTACTATACTTAAAAAATCTGCAACTGGAGTACAAGTAGCCCTGCACCTCCCCTATAGTAACTCTTTAGCATGCATGCTCCTTGCTAAGTACACGTTGCGTACGCTATTCCTCAAGTATAGAGGAATATATTATATCTGGATTATATCTAAATGACTTTATTATGTAGTGGTGAGGCAGTGCTTGAAAGTAACCCCATAGATGGCTGTAGATGCATGTTTAGTTAGCATAACTTCTGCATTGGCTTTCTCCATTTCTGTAATATGTAGTTACAGGATCAGTTGTGTTTCTGTAGGGAGGAGTCAGAAATACTTGACTATAAAATACTCTCAGATCTGCATCTAAGAGACAACATTCAACATTTATTTTAGTAAGTTTGATACAGAACTGTATGAATTTCTTGGACTTTTTCTTGCTTACTCTTTAAGGAGGAGGAGGATGATGATGACTGGGGTGAAGACACCACAGAAGAAGCCCAGAGGCGTAGAATGGATGAAATCAGTGACCATGCAAAGAACCTCACACTTAGTGAAGACTTAGAAAGAACAGTGGAAGAGAGAGTCAACATACTATTTGATTTTGTGAAGGTGGGTATATGTAAAAATGCTCATAAGAAGATGAAGAGTGAGCTGCTTTTTATTTTGTTTCTTCTCTAAAAGTCTTTCAATCCAAAGCTGGAGCTGCTACAAAATACTGCTTTCGCTGTTAGTCAGGGCTTTCTGGGTATGGCATTAATGCAGTCTTCAGTAGCTTTAAAACATTCTGTTCCTGTCTTGTAGAAAAAGAAGGAAGAAGGTGTCATTGATTCTTCTGACAAGGACATTGTAGCAGAAGCAGAGAGACTGGATGTCAAGGCTATGGGCCCTCTAGTTCTGACTGAAGTCCTTTTTGATGAAAAGATTCGCGAACAGATCAGGAAATACAGGCGCCACTTCCTTCGTGTAAGCTGTCTCTTGTTCTGTACCCAGGGTAATGGCTGGTCTGGTTTCTGTGACAGCTGCTTGAGTTGGTTCTGGATTGCTTGGTACTATGGGAAGATGACTTGTCATTTTTAAACCAGTACTTCCTAAGTAGAGAAAACTGGGAGGGATCATAAGGCGGTTGTCAACTCTGTCTCAGTGAGTTAAGATAAGAAGCAACAGCTCATCCTGGAGAGGAAAAAAGCTAATTTATCTGCTCTTCTATCCCACCTCTAGTTCTGCCACAATAACAAGAAAGCTCAGAGGTACCTTCTCCATGGCTTTGAGTGTGTGGTGGCCATGCATCAGTCTCAGCTTATTTCTAAAATACCACATATTTTGAAGGAGATGTATGATGCAGATCTTCTAGAAGAAGAGGTCATCCTTGGCTGGGCAGAAAAGGTAAAAAGAAAAATATTTCGTGTTATACCTGCTTTGTACTTGAATGTAGCGCAGTGTACCTGATCTTACTGTTCTGGTAAAATTTTCCATACGGATGTCTTCAGTTGTTCTCAGGAGAAACAGATCTCCCACAAACAGCTTGTTTTGAAGGTGGCAGGGTGAAGATTGGCTTGCTCTGTTCTTGTATGAGCTGATAAAATTCAGTGTTTTAAGCAGAATGTTCTTCTGTTTTTCAGGCCTCAAAGAAATATGTTTCAAAGGAGCTTGCCAAAGAAATCCGTGTCAAAGCAGAACCATTTATTAAATGGCTGAAGGAAGCTGAAGAAGAATCTTCCGGAAATGAAGAAGAGGATGAAGATGAAAACATAGAGGTAAGGCTTGCTTGTTCTCACTGAATAACTTCAGAACCCTGTGTGCTCCAGTCCTGAGGCACTTGGTCTTGGTGCACTATGACATTGCTCACATGCTGTATTGCTGTTAATGTTGGAAAGCAGGAAGCCTTTCAGAAAAGCTTAGAGAAGTTAATTAAAGGAGAAATGGCTCTTCTTCACAGCTTAGGCTTAAGTGAATCTGTTAGCTATATCCAGCTGATTGTGCCTGTATAAGTTGAGGTCTCAACATGTGTGTTTAGATTTCCATTACAGTTAATGGTCTTCTATGGGAAGCTGCTGGGCACTACACTTAGAAATGCAGCAGCATGCTGAGCATTATTGTTGACAAAGAGAACTGTAGAGCGCATAGATGCTGGTTGCTTGTAATAATAAAGCAGAATTGCTGTATGATGCCCACTGCCACTAAGCACTAGTAAAGGTATGTTTCATGTCTCCACAGGTGGTATACTCTACAACTGCCAGTGTACCTAAAGTTGAAACTGTGAAGCCTGCAAACAATAAAGATGATGATATTGATATTGATGCCATTTAAAGTGATGCAGCATAGCTTCCAGCATAATCAAACTTCTCTGCGTTTTCTGCCAGAAGTGTGACTTGTATGTGCACAAACTGAAATGGCTTAACATCCTGCTACTCTTTGTACTCTAAAATGTATCTTTTTACTGTGACTGGTCTTGTGTAACTAAGCCTAATACCAAGGAGTCAGCACATCAATGAACTGATCGAGTTTGCAAATGGCATGTTCTGTTTTGTTTTTCTAACTTGTGTTGGACACATACTTGGAGCACATTTATACAGTTACAGAAATAAAGGATTTGGTTTTGGTCAATCTTCAATCATGCCTAAGCTTTTTTTTTTTCCCAAGTAAGTATTTACACAAGTTGGTGCTATTTCCCTGGTGGAACAGTGCAACATGGGTGGGTGTGATAATGAATTATCTTGGATCAAAGACATGCTAAGGTTGAGAGAAAATGTTTTGTCTTAAATTTAGCACAAACTGTCTATGAGCTTTTCAGTAACTCCAATAAATTCATAGGGGGTGCTTTGAGCACTGCTGGTAGTGTGGGTAGTACTAGTCCTGAGAAATCAGTAGTGTGAGCAGAGAGCAGGCTTAAAGCAAGGGGAAGATTTTGTTCGCTGTTTAAGAGCTTCAGGTTTGACTCCCCACAGTAGTTGGGTGTAGGGCTGTGAACTGAGTACTGCATTGCAGGTGATCCTGAATTCAAGTTGTCAGCACTCGTGTGTTGGGCAGGCTGTGTTAGAGAGGTGGGGTGAAGTTGCCACAGGTGCCAGGGAGGTGTGTTACTGCAGTAATACAGAGTGTGACTTCTAAGTGGGAGGTTAGTCCTGGCACTTTTCCTGTATTTCAAAAATAATTGTCAGTTGTTAGACTTGTTGGGAATGTGGAAAGTGGGTTACTAATCCCTGTGTGACCTTTCCAGAAGATATTTCTCTTTCCTGGTACAGGCACACATTTCCATTGTGTGATAGTTGTGAGCACATCATTACCAGCGTTTTTGCCTGCCCTGCTGGAGTTGGGTGTGGAAAGCAAAGATCAAATACAGCTGTATGTATTAGAGGGTAGCTGTTGCAGAGCTAATGATTTTTGCCTGCTACTATGGTAGCAAATTATATGGGCATTTTTTGGTTTATGTAGGTAGCAATTAAGAGACTGGAATTTGTATTGCTTTTATAAAAGCAAAAGGCTGACCTGCAGGGGTGACAGAAGCTTAAAAGGAAACAGTTAATGCTGTCTAGTTTTCAGTGGAGTTTCAGCCTGGTCTTCCTCCTAGCTTGGAACAGCAGGCTTTGCCTTTCTAAGCAGAGTTTACATTCCCTCCATAAGCTGAAAGTCTTGCATGTTCCCAGGATTACATTTCATCTGCAGTGCTGAGTTCTATGCAGGATGGGCAGTTCCAAGAGAACAAATGGAGCCTGACTTCTAGTGAGTGTAGGTCAGGGTCATTTACCAAAGTAATGGCTTGATCTGTACTGACAGTTTACAGATAGAGCTTTGCAGAGCCAGATTGCTCCTGTGTCCTGAGTGACCAGAAGACTGCACTCTTCTTAAAGCAGGGGTTATGCAGCGGTGGCTGCTACCACCTGCCATATGGTGAAGTCCCTGCCAGGGTGTAGCTGCTTTTGCTTCAAAACAGATTTGATTGTAGTTATAGGCAGCCACTAAAGGAGATTTCTCTTTCCACTCCAGACCTAGTGACTGGCAAGGCAGACCTGTTCCTTCCAGAAGGGAACTTAGGAAATAAACTCTCTAAAAGCAGCTTTCCCTTGGATTAGTGAACTGGTGAAATCATAACAAAGCTGTATGATGGTAGACTTGCTATAAACGTATGGTGGGAGAAAACAGTGAGTGAAAGCATTCCTTTAGTAGCACATTAGGTGGATCAGACTAAGTGTGTTATAAAGCTGCACCCTAATAGACACATCCTAAGAACAGTGAGGCTGGAGCGTGAAATTCCTGGCACTGTGCTGCACTTCCAACCCTATCTTTGCTTATGCATTGATGTTTTCATCTCAGATAATCAGGGATTCCACCAGTTAATGAAAATGGATGTTTGTTTTGTTAGCATTTCTTTAGAGAAGAAATCCGTCTAAGGAGTTTCCCCAGTCTTTGAATTTATTGCTGCTATCTGATTAAAAGGAACAAGTAGAAATTCAAAACGGCGGCTGGGTATTGAGATGCAATCTGCTTGAAGCTTCAAAGGAACTCCTGGCACCTGAAAAGAAAAAAATGAGTGTTGGGTGATTTCCCTCACTCTATACTATACAGCCTTAGAAACCTCAGTGTGAATGCACTGATTTGGCAGGTGGGAAGTCTAGCATCAGATCCACAACCTTGGCTGTATAAATCTTCATCTTCCTCCCTGAGCTGCGATCCAGAGCTCTCCTGCAGCTCAGCTGCCCCTGTCATTGCCCAGCACAGTGGGAGCAGATTTGCTGATGGGCTGCTTGGGTTAGCAGCAGCACAGCAGTATTGCAGATGAAAAAAGCTCAGAAGCTTGAACCAGGGTTTGAAATCTTGATCGCTGTTGTGTGTATAAGAAATAAAATTGTCTGCCTTTATTTTTATCACGTAGAGCCTAATGCTTTTCATTGGAGGTCAGCGTTTTACTCAGATGGATGTGATAGACATGTATTATGTCAAAGGATGCTCTTTGCCTCCAAGAGCATATAGGCTTGTAGTGAGGCAATGGCTAAAGATAAGGCAAATGTGGTCCAAAGCAGTTGTAATAGGCATAGGAACATGCTCAACTCTTTTTAATTCCCATTGCAGTGGCTGTTCCCGTTAGTACAGCCTCAGTGCATGACTTCCAGAGAGGGCATCTATGCAAACAGTGGTTCACTCTGCAGGGCCACTTATAGGAGGCATCACAAACAGAACCAGTCATCTGCATGTGCTGTGTGGCAGTTCTCTGTCTCACATTGTTCTCCACACCCCAGTTCCCACCATTCATGGCACTCTACAGACAGGCCTGCAGGCAAAGGGTATTTTTGTGCTGTCTTCTTATGGCAAAGTGAAAACTGAAGTGTTCAAGCGTGTGCATTCCTATGTCTTCATCTTATTTTTATGCACAGGGCTATCATTCCTCCCTGCTGAGAACTTTCTTGTTTGGGCTGCAATGCTCACTAAGAGATCCCAATCTTCACCAATGTCTCCCACTCAGCTGATTTGTTGCTGTGCTGATACGCCACAAAGTTAAACAAGCTGATTTGTATCTGATGAAATTGCGCTTAGCACATGGGAGCGTTCCAGTTGTGCAAGTTCTGCACCTTGATGTCTGAAAGAAAAGGTACTGGAGAACAGTAGTTAACAGTGATCTGTAACAAAGCTGTCCTTTCACTCGATGGCTGCTGTGCAGCAATAAAGATCACAGCAATTCTGCGTTCCCAGAGAACGGAAGTGTCAGGGACGGAAGGAACAGAAGCTGCTGACCCACCAATTGGTTTGCAAGCCATGGCAGCTGTTTTCTTCTCAAACTAATTACTCAGAAAGAGCCTTGGAGGGCTGTTGCTGAGAGTTGACTCCTTGGCATTCAGTAACACCACTGAACCGTGAAGATGCAGAACAGACAACCCAGAGGGAAAGACAATAAAAAGCAGCTTAAAACATTGCTCTTTAAAGCTTTATCTATGAAACACTGTCTGCGTGCTTAACTTTCAGCTTCAGTTTTATAAATTTGTTGGAGCCACTGGGATTGATTACTTACGTGCTTGGTGGGCTGATCGTGTTGTCAACCTGCTGAAGATAATCATCTTGTTCCTTGGCCGTGCAAGTCTGCAATGGTGGAACAGCACGGGGTGAAGGCTGGCAGCCCGGGCAGCAGGCATGGCTGGGACCAGCAGGGTGCATGGCAGGGGCAGGCAGGGCCTCTCCCAGCTCCTCCCGCACTGCTCAGCTCCAAGGTCACTCAGCTGCACCATGTTGGAGCTGCCCTTGAACACCAGCAGCCCAGCACCTGCGAGGCGGGGGAAAGGCTGCAGAGCCTGGTCCTGCTCTCAGGGCCTGTTGTTTTCCAAGGTTGCAGGTGGAGAGTGGAGTGTATTCGATTTCTAATCTTATCACTGTGCTGTTAGATGTATGTTATGCACAGCATTTTCTTATTGAGAGAGGAACAAATAAAGCAAAGAGGAGCTCTGGTTTGAATCTGGGGTCCAGGACACATCAGCGGTTATATATAAATATATATTATTGCAAATAAGGGAAGCAGCAGCACTGGGAGCTTTGTGTGGGTGTTTGCATCACTCGCTCCAAAGTTTTGCTTGATCCTGACTGATTTTTATATTGATCTGCTACTAATAAAACCCAGCTAGCAACACTGACGTCAATGGAGTTAGCCTGGATTTGTATCTGTGTCATTAAGGAAGTCATCTGGCACCTTTAAAAGAAATGTGAGGAAATGAGTATATTATCCATTCCTGCACTGATGGGGAACTGCTAATTTAAGAGTTGCTCTTACAGCCAAAGTTATAAGATGTCAGCAGCGTAGTTCACATAGAAAAATATTAGATAAAAACACAGAGGCTTTTTCACTTGATCTCTGCTGCCGGGAAAGCTGGGCTGAAGGGCTTCTGTCTCCTGCCCAGCCTGTGTCCATATGCAGCATATGGTGAGCCAGGTGGACGTGGATGGAGGTGCCATGACTAGGGTGGCTATGGATGGTGGGCAAGCACACATAGGGGTGAAATGGATAACCAGAGCACAGCTGTGATCACAGGAAAATGCCTCAGCCAGATCCCCGTGGGTTCAGGCTGAGGCCAGACATTCATCCACCTGAGCTGCTGCCCAGAGGGCACCACTTCCAGAGGAGCCAAGTCCCCGTTGGTGGCACAGACCACCAGAATTGAAACCTCCACACAGTGTAAGCAGGCTGTGTCCTGCTTAACAGAGGTCACAGAAGATCACCTTCATATGACAGAGAATGGAGCAGTTCAGGCTTTTAGGGAGTAGCAGGGCTTATGACTTGCTGAAGAAATGAAAGAAAAATCATCATAAGAAGTAGTAACGTAAGCAGAACTAATCTCCTGTGCGGCCATGCTGATTAAAAACAGAGGCAGTGGGAGGCAGTGAGCAGTGGTTGCTCTTCGTGCCAGAAAAGAGGAGCAGCCCCTTCGAGGTTCAGGAGGGAGATTCGGGCTGGAGGGAAACACGAGGGAAGTGGGGGCAGCTCTATGGCCAAGGCCAGCTCCATCCCGGTGCTGCTCAGTGAGCAGGAAGGCAGGAGGGGGAAGTGGCTGTGGTTCACGGTGGGGTGAGGGGATGGTTTTATCTGAATCACCGAGGGGGAACGGAGCGTTCCGATGGGAGGAGAGGTGTGAG